ATTGATGGCTTAGAAATTCAGTAGCTCCTTCTATTTACAAGCGAATTTCTACGATCAGGGAGGGGAATGTTTTAGAGTGGCCACGTAAACTAGGTCAGGGCTGAAATTTTCCTCTTGCTTCAAAGGGGAGCTGAAATGGCTTAAGCAGCGCACGGCACATTCCTGACTCCCAGATCCATGCCCGGCGAACTGTCAGGGATTTTCAACCTCCCGGACGGTGAGAGCTCTGGGGCTGAACGATGAACAGAAAAAACTGGTTCCTCTGTGGTCTTAGAACACCGTCTGCCTAACTTGCTGCACGAAGCACTGAGACAGCAGCTCTGCACCCCAGGATGTCCTACCCAGAGGATTCTCTTGGGCCACCCCACCTCCGGATCCCGCAGCCACTTCCCAAGTCCCCTGACCGCTTTGGGTAAACATTCAGGATGCAAAAGGAAAGACCACGCAGGAGAACCAAACGCCTGGGTAGAACACCAAAAATTCTCGTCAACACTTAAAAATAGACATTTAAACAGTAAGGCCAGCACCCCACGAAGAAATGAGCCACGGCATTTTGTTATCCTGAGTGCCTGGTAGGGCAGTGCAGGCTCTCGTTCCACTGGCTTACCCTGCCGTGAATGGAGCCCGCTCAGGGTCTTCCTCCCAGGCGGGCCTAATGAATGCCGTGGAGTTCACAGGGCTTGGACGTGGGCTTTCGGTGTAATGAGAGATGTTTCTCTGTGCCTGGTTCTCTAACCAAGTGTTTGGCTGGCTTCTGGTTCCCAAGTGCAGCCAGAAATACAAGATATCTTGGTTCCTCGGGGTGGAAAATCCTTGACACCGCAGAGCTGGACTTCCGAGACCCTTCACCAGCGTGGGAGCGGCCCGGCTGTGCTGCCCAAGCCCGGCAGCCCCGTCCCCCGAGGGCACGTCCGGCCCCAGGTGCCTTTCCTCCCGCAGCTTCAGTTTTGAGTCATCGGTCTTTCTCTCCCCTAACAGGACTGTCCAACCACCATTTTCCTTCTCACTGCTATGGCCAGCTTCCAGTTTGCCTTTCCCTAAAGATTCCCTCCTAGAGGGCATGGCGACTGTGATAGGACATCTCCCCAAAACTAAAATACGCGCACTAGAATTCAAAGCATGGAAATCACCGATGTGTGGGGATAAAGTGTACTTGAATTTGCAAAGGAAAAAGAGGTCCCTGTTGTATTCCCAGGTGCGGAGGCCCTGACTGCAGTGTGAAAACGCGAGGGGGCTGCGGGCGCTGAGAACCAAAGGCTGAAAAAGGAAGAAGAGTTTTCCTTTTCCTCTTCCTAATCAAAGTTTAATAAAAATCAAGTTTTCCTTTTCCTAATCAAAGAATCAGTTAATCAATCAATCTCTCTCTCTCCCCTTTTTGCAGTACTAGGGACTGAGTCCAGCACCTTCACACTGAGCTACACTGACAGCCCCTTTTCAACGTTTTATTTTGAGACACAGTTTTTCTAAGTCACTAAACTGCCCAGGCTGAGCTCAAATTTATAATCCTCCTGCTTCAGCCTCCCAGAGTGCTGGATTACAGACCTAGGCCACCACGCCAGCTCTGCCAAAGGACTTCTCTAGCAAGCATTTTTAAAATCCAGACTGACATTTCAATGAAGTGAAACAAACTTTTCACGTCAATTTTTTTACCCGAGATTCTGATCTATTGTGCAATCTCGTTACATTTTCTCTAGACAGGATAATTTCCAAGGGGTTTTAGAGCAAGAAAGAAAATGATCAAAATAGGAAAAGGCTTGGGGTGGCTCTCTGTGCGCTCACTGAGCTTTTTCCTCGCATAGTGTCCATAACAGAGACATGGACAGCACGTCTACAATCGCCTTTTGCAAGTAACTGCCTGGCTAAGGTGGTCCTGCCTCTTTCCTGGTTTTTTCTCCTCTTTTATTTAGATATTTTAAGTTAAAATTAAAACTAACTTAATTTTTGCTTTTATTGTTAGATAAAATCAGAAGGAAATATTTAAGAAACGTCTTAAGTGAAGATAATATTCTGATTCAGTAAATATAAGCAGCCATAAAAAGTACCCAGTTTATGAGCAAGAACATTCAGCAGACACTAAAGGTGCAAGAACTCAAACTAGCGTGTCATTTTTTGAAACTCAACTTGTTTATTTTCATATTGATGTGCTAAGATCAAAAACTGCAAAATAATTTTAAGTAACTCATTTAGAAAGAAAAAGAAAATTTCTAAAATGCCTACATTTTTATGGAAAAGAAAAAAGACACCAAGAAAAAACCAGCTCTGATCACTCAAGTAGACAGAGAAGCCGCTGCTCCTTCAGGGCTCAGCCTTTACAAGCCACAATGTGTCAAACACATTTGGGGCAGTGGCGGCTCTTTCCTTAAAATAATCAAGGAATGGTACACAGAAAGGTTCATCAGAAAGGCAAGAAAGGTCCACAAGAAGGCAAACTTTGAAGAAAACCTAAGCAAAGTGCAGAACGTTGTAAAAGAAAAGTCGCGTTAAAAAAAAAAAAATTAGCAGCCAGACCTTGGGACACACACCTGTAATCCCAGAACTTGGAAGGCTGAGGCAGGAGGATCGCAGTGAGTTTGAGGCCAGCCTGAACTACATAGTGAAACCCTGACTGAAAACAAACAAACAAAAAGAAAGAAGGTAAAAAACAAAACAGAAAGAAACGTTAGCCTCGAAGGGCACTGTGGCACACACCCGTTTGTAGTTCAAGCTACTTGGGAGGCTGAAGCAGAAGGGTCACAAATTTGAGGCTCGCACGGGCAACTTAGCAGGATGCTGTCTCAAAAACAGAAGTAATTTTTTTTTCAGAAGGATGCGGCTCAGTGGTAGAGCACTTGCCTAGCGTGCCCAAGGCTCTGGGTACGACCCCCACCACCTAAGAGAAGTAATATTGAGACAGCCTGGCCAACAGCGCGCACGAGGCTTGCTGGGCCTGCTGGTCCTCCTCTGCGGAACGGAGACAGCCAAGTGTCCTTCCCTGGTAACCTGGAGGTTCCGGGGGAGAGCCCGCCCACAGGCCACCCCGGCGCACCGGCCTCTTCCCCGAGAGCGCGCTGCTCGGATTCCACAGAGACAAGAAACGAACGCCCGAGACTTGGGCGCAGAACGTGGCTGTGACCGTGGATGAGGCATCCGGCCACGCGGTGACCTGCTGACCCACGGAGGGGCAGGCCGGCCGGATGGCGCCCAACCACCTCAAAAAAGTTCCACCGTGAGAAGGCGTCTATGCTCATGAGACAAATCCATCTCCGGTTTTCCTCTCACCCTGTTTGGTGTTTTTTCATTGAGGTTTATTAACCTTGTAGGGAAAAAAAAAAAAATCAGCATTTTTTTCCTTTCCTTTGCTCTGAAACTGAAGACTGAAAGAGCCGCCAGTCTCACGGGTGAGCTCCTCCCCGAGTACAGAGCCCAGGAACCTACGTAAGATCCCTCTGGAGGCCCCTGGGTTAGGAAGGCTCTAGTTGTGATTTCTCCTCTCTACACGCCTCCCAGTTACGACAAATGGGGCCTCAGTTTCAGTATAGATTTTTTTCCTTAATACAGTCACTTTTCCTAACAATTTCCCACTTTTTCTGGCACCAGGAATCGAACTCAGGACCATGCGCTTGCCAGGCTTGCGTTGTGGAGCTACATCCCCAGCCCAGTTTCCCACTTTTTAAAGAAGAAAACAAATCAACGTTTATAAAAGTGGAGGTCCACTGGTTGCAGAACAGAATGTGAAAATGTGACGGTGAGGAACGGAATTTATTCTCTCCGCTCGGCAGCTTGTTGGAGCCCAGCGGGGTACGTATGCCTCTGGCTCCGGCTTTCACCCTGTCCGAAGTCAGGACTGCGGCTGCTTTCATAATTCTGTGAGACCAGGTGGCTGAGGGAAGCGGGAGATGCAGAGAGAGGAACCGGGCATGCGACTCCCTTAGCTTCTCCCAGCCCGCGCCGGGGAAGGCAGGGTGCTCTGTCTGCCAGCGCCAGACCCTGACAGCAGGCCACCGCTTCCCTGACGCCATGGGGGCTGTGTGTCACTCAGGGTTTAGGTGGGCGTCTCGGGCACTTCTCTCTCGCTGCTGAGACAAAATACCCAACACCCAAGACTAAGGCAGGAAAGGCTTATTTAGCTCACGTTTGTGGAGGTCTCAGTCCATACTCAGCTGGCAGGGTGGCGTGGCACAGGGCAACAGTTCATGGCAGTGGAAGACAGCAAAAGCAGTAAGAGCAAAAAGGGCGAGGGAGCAAGCCTCTTTTCTTCCCTTATATTGTGAGCAGATTATCTGCCCTCGGGTGGGTGTAGCTCTCACACCGTCTCTGTGCCCTCCTCTTCCACAGGCTCAGGATGTTTAGGACACGAGGACCCTGGCCCTTTGCTGAGTGGGTTAGTTAAATTTTTAAACATCTCAAGTTGACACAATAAACAACATCCCGGAGGGTAAGGGCTTGTCCTCTACACACCAGGATGTAGAACTGCTGAGTTACTTAGTGAAGCTTCCAGACTCCTCAAGTTGACACAATATATCAACCACAACAATATGTTCCTAGATTAAAAATTACTTTACATCAGACAGGTGGCTGACACCTGTAATCCCAGGACTAAGGAGGCTGAGGCAGGAGGATCACAAGTTCAAGACAAACCTGGGCAACTAAGACTGTCTCAAAATAAAATTTTAAAAAGAGCCGGGGGTGTAGCTCAGTGGTAGAATAACCCTGGTTTTTATGCTCAGTACTGCAGGAAACAAACAAATCTACCTTACAGTGACCTCGGCTGCCCAATCCTCTGGCTGTCTATAGTGTGCAAAGCACTTTGCCGCAGGTCTTAGAGTGCGGGCACTGGCGTCCCTCTCTTTTCCTGACAGCAGGTCCCGGCCCACCTTCACCTCTGCTGAGCAGATTCGCACCTCCTGCCACACCCACTCCTATCTGGGCCGTCCTGGCCTTCCTTGTGCCCCTTCTGCCCGCCAGAGGCCGTGCTGCGGGCGGTGCTGCCCTGCTCGAAGTCGCGGTCCTGTCCTCCTGCCCTGCGGGCGCTCCTGCCCCAGGAGCCTACAGGGTGCTGGCCCGGGTCACTCTGTTCCTGACTCGTGCGTGCCCTGAGCACTGGCGGAGAGTTTGCTCTGTTTCTTTTTCCTTGAATCAAGAATAAGAAATGGAGTGAGCCAGAACGTTCCACCCCTCACGTCCAGATAAACCAGCGGGAAAGCACTTCTGGGTCGGAAACAGCCTCGACCGACTCAGCCAGGCCTTGAGGGACGTGTGAGGCTCTCACGAGGGGGTGCTGTGGCGCACCATGGGGGATTACCCCTTTCGGTGAGGGGCTGGGGCACAGGGAGAAGGGAGCCGTCTGTCCGGGATGGGATTTTGTGGAGCCTAAGTCTAGAATCTTCCCTGGAAACCTTACTACTGTGTGTCCCCAAAAATAAGACCTAGGCAGAAAATCATCAGCCTTGAAAAGACAAACAGTGCCAGCCCCAGTGAGCCTATCCTTGCCTCACCTGCCTTCCAGGGCAGCCACCCAGCAAGAGAAGAGCGAGGCACAACCCGCAGTACTCCGGTCCCCACCACAGAAATGACCAGCTAGGACTTATTTTCCAGGTAGGTCTTATTTTCGGGGAAACACAGTAGCAGCACTTATTTCATTTTTCTCCCCTAACTCCTCATACGACCTCCTATGTGTATAACACACGCCCTTCCAATATTACCTCTGCTTGCAATTCTAGCTTCCTGACTAACAGGAGATTTGATCACACTACACAAGAAGCAGTCACACGTTAGCATGCTTCGGACCGAGGCTCAAGAGCGTTTTCCCGGCGCAGCCGGGAATGCACTGCCAGCAATCCACCACGCACAGCTGGGAAGGCTGAACTCTCTCTGTTCACAATACTTCAACTCAAAAGCCATCTTTAAACCATAGCCAATTAGGGAAGAGGGCGACGAGAAACCGTGCCCAGAATTCCCCAAATGGACAAGCGCCGCTGCTGCCCTGATGCAGTGCGGGCATTACTCAGCCCTTCCCACTGATCTCCACGCCTTGTGGCGGAGAGGGGCGCTACGCTCTGCAGAACCAAAGCGGAAGCGCCCCACTCCCACCTCCCGGCCGGCTCTTCCCCAACAGCGGCGGGCGAGCTGGAGGCTGGGCGCACGCGGCAGAGACGCGTCTGGTTTCCAGAGGCATTTCGTACACTGCTCGATCGAGTCCAAGTCTGAGGTATTTCCGTGACAGGCAACGCGAAACTCTTTCACAGACTGGAGACTGGAGAGAAATGGTAGCGTTTCCCTAAAGTTTAGTGAGTGGGCCAGGCCTTGAATAAGTCAGTTAGAAACATGGTAATGTGGTCACTCTTAGGGGATCGCCGTCTCTCACCTTGGGGACAGGCAGGGGCGTGACACAGTCAATACAGAGCTTCGGTGACCATCAGGCTCCGCCACTTCACCAGCCGCGGGGTAAAAGTCCAAGCTGTGAACATGTTTACTGATACCCAATATATCACCCCTAGAAAAGAAGATGCGAATTGCTCACTTCCTTTTTACAAGCTGAAGCTGAATCACAGAGTTACACGCTGATCCGTCTGGTTCTAGGAAACAATGAGGGGGCCCTCCCTATCTGGCCACCAGGAGGGCTCCTGCCGCCCCCTCAGGGTGGAGCAGAGACACCTCTGCCACCTCCTGATCAGCTTCACAGCCCGGCTGTCAGGTAGGCTGAGTCACAGTTTCACTAACTCCGAGTCACCACGTTCGCACTTGGAGGAATCCAAGATCCGGAATCCAAGATCTGAGCAGAAGGAACAGACCTGGGTAAGACTTGAAAGGACAAGGCTGACAGCACCCGAAGTGGCGCAGGGGTGGGGCCCCGTGCGAGAGCGCCTGCCTAGCACTGGGTTCAAGCCCAAGCACCACACACGCACACACACTCGCCAGAGACGGCAGATGCCGCCCTCCCGGCCCGAGACCAACGCGTTCCTGGGGAGACCTCGTGCACTTGCCCTGCTTCCTTGCTCAAGTGCTGAGCCCCACGCAGGGAGGAGGGGCGGGGTTGTACAGGACCGAGGGAGGCCAAAGAGAAACACGGCAAATCTGCAAAGAACAAGGAATATAAATCACTCCAACCTCAAGGGGCTTACGGTGTGGCGCCGAATCTGAAACTCCCCAACAAGGGCTATGACTGACTGGGAGGGACTATTCCTTCTGTGATCTAAGTCAAAGTTTCCAGGAAATGAGCCCTTCGCCGAGCTTCTCAGGATCCAGATAAATAGGAAGCAAAGGAAGGGAAGTCCAGGCATGCAGAACGGGCTGACTTGCCAAAGTGCTCGCTCACTCAACACCGGCAGGGACAGGCAGCAGGGTGCACTAGCTAATGTCCGTCTCCCCAAGCACGAAGGGAGGGTAGGGGTTGCTGCCCTACCTCCCCGTAGGGTTAACGTTTTCCTTAACTGATTTATTCTCGGCGCTGGGGACTGAGCCCGAGGCTTCGTGCAGGCTATGCAAACGCGCTGCCACTGAGCTGCGCTTCCAGCCCCACCACGGCGTCTTCTGGCAGTGACGGTAAAGAGCGCACGGCCACAAAGCCGCTCCTGTCGGTGCTGTGTATAAACAACACGGGAAAGGACTGCAGATCCCCTGAGAAGCAGAAAACACACACTCACACACGCACACACTCATGCACACACACTCATGCGCCACACACTAACGTGCACACACACATGCACACAGCTACGAACACCTTCAGAAATGGGAGAAGCCACTGAAAACTGCACTCAGCACTGCATTATTCAGTACCTGACTGATTTATAACATTAAGAACCACCGCGTGATTTCCCAGGTCTGAAATTCCCGAGCTCCAGTCTTCAAGAAATGGGCACATTTCTGTCCTAAAGGGACCAGGACCCCTAGACAGAACCAATGTCAGTGGACTGAAGTGTCTTTGACCTTCACATTTTCCTTTAAAAGGCCAGATCCCACACTGCACTGGAAACGACTGTCCCAGCAGTGTGTGCCTTCGACCCCAATGTCTTGCTCTTACGGAAATGATAAAAAGGCTCTCACCACGTGGACCGGAGGAATCGTACACTTGGAATTCCTTGTCACAGGTGAACAAACAGAGCCTCACTATGCTTCTACTTTTTGAAAAGCAAACCACAGCTCAGCAAACGCATAGGTTTTGTCTGGTTAAATATCGCCGCTCTACACTTTAATGCTTCAACGCTTAGCCTAAAGTATGTCCACACAAATGTCATCATAAATACCAGGCTCAAGAGCAACCTACAGTTTGTATGATAAAGTGGACATAGGGTTTTTTAAAAATCCTCTCCCGCCCTCTCACTTTCTCCCACACACCCAGAGAATCCCTAGGGAGAGAGCCACACCCATCACCAGGGCTCTGCCAACCTTTCAAAAAACATTAAGAGCAAACGTTAAGGAAATGCCAAGACGCAAGAAACTTTCTCTCTGTGCAGACTAAGCTACTGGAATTTGCAAGGAGCAGAATAAACAAAACAATTAAGCCATTAGCTCGCCTCCTTAGAGACTCCAGGGCAGTAGGAGGCGGCCAGCACGCGGGGCAGGTGAGCCGCACAGGAAAAACAAGGGCAGTTTCTCCTTGAAACCACAGCAGATACAAACGTCATCAGGAAATTTTACATTCTGCAGGTCCAGAATAGCTGAACAAGAAAAACCTTGCTGTCCAGTTAACCTGGCAACGATCTTTCACATCAACAAGAACAGCCTGACCACTCCCCCCGCTCAAGGCCAAGGTCAGAGAGGCCTCAGCAGCAGGGTGGGGCAGCCCAGGCCTCTGTGCCCAGCTGGCACCGGAGCGGGGTGGCTGCACTCGGAGACACGAACCTCTCTGCAGAAAGGGCCCAGGCGAACTTCCCTTCCGTTTCTGCAGAGAGCAGCAGCGGGCCGAGCCGGGGCTGGTCGGCGGCCTCGGTGCTGGACGGGAAGGTGCAGAGGCAGAAGCCTGTCCCAGCCCCCCGCTTCCCGCAGCAGCCACGCTGGCCAACATCCGGTGAAAAGGAAACTCCAAAGGAAGCCCTTGGGCAGCTTTATGGGGGGCGCTATTTTTATCTGGGAAAACATTTCCAGTTTACAATTAGTTGTCCACTTTAATCCACCGAGGTCATCAGTCAATCACTCCTTCACTGGAGGCTGGGGGGCTGCCACCGAGCAGAACTGGGAGGTGTGGGGTCCTCTTGGTTTGGTGCGGACAGGTGGGTTCAATTTGGCAAAGGTGTGTGTTCCACAGGCAGCTGGACACTAGCAGGTTTTGACTGCCTGCGAATTTAAACCCTTGAATTCAGCCCTCACGCGCCAGAACGTACACTAACAGGGGCAGGAGGCTGTTTTAGTCTCTTGGTGACCCCCGCCCCCGCCGCCATCTGCTCTGTTAACATCTCAGACGTCCACCTTAGCGCAGGTCACTGATCCCACAGAGCACGGCAGCCCCTCAAGAGCTCTCCTCTGTTGATTCCTAAGTGGTCGTGGGGAGAGATTTTGCCCTGGTTTTGAGGTAGGATTGAAAAAAATAAAAGGTAGAAAGGACACGAAGAAATCAGGATTTTAAAACTGTATTTTTAAGAAAAATTGCAGCTTTAGGACACAGAAGTTACTCAAGTCTTTTTTTTTTTTCTAGTACTGAGATTCAAACTCACGACCCTGGGCTTGCCAGGCAGGGGCTCTGCCGCTGAGTTATATTCCCAGCCCCTCAAGACTTTTTCCCTACCAGGAAACTCACTTGAGAAAATGCCTGAAGATCTTAGCGGTGCAGCAGGCCTGTAAATGGGCCCTGGCCCTGTCCTTTCCACCTGTCACCTGCGCTTCCTCCACCTGCAGAGCAGCGGCAGTACCGGTGGGCAGCACAGCTAACTTCACATGGGCGTCCTGACGGGCCGGAGGAACACACATCCTAGACCACCCTTCCTGAAGACTCCCCACGACGCCCTAAACATACCCATCCCCAGCTCCCGTACCCTCCTCTCCACTACCCCTCAGGCCCACACTCTGCTCTCGAGCGTGCGCTGAAATCTGCCTAATACACCTTTCCTGTGCTCCTTATGGATGCGTCTTAAAAATTCTCTCTCTGGGGCGGGAGCCCGTGAGCCTCCAAACAGTCTGTGTGTAAGACAGTTACATTCCTCAGGTCGGCTCCCAGAACCTCCTCGGACCCAGTCTGCTGACGGTTTCTACATTAAAGCTGCTGAACAAACAAAAATTAAATATTTAGGAATTCACCTAACCAAGGAAGTGGAAGACCTCTACAACAAAAACTACAGTGCTCTGAAAAAGGAGATCGAAGAGGACATCAGGAAATGGAAAGGTGTCCCCTGCTCCTGACAGGCAGAAGGAATACAGTCAAACTGGCCATACTTCCAAAGCTAATATACAGATTTAATGCAATCCCAATAAAAATTCCAATAGCATCTTCACTGAACTGCTGAAAACACTCTTTAAATTCACACTGAACCAGAAAAGACCCAGAATATCGAAAGCAATCCTGGGTAACAGGTAAAAGTGGGAAGCACCACGATGCTGGATTTGATGTTATATTACAAAGCAATGGTAATAAAAACAGCAAGGTACTGGCACAAAAACAGGAACGTGGATCAGTGGAACAGAACAGAGGATGCAGAGGCAATCCCGAGCACATTCAACTGTTTAATCTCTGACAAAGGGGCCAAAAACGTACACAGGAGGAAAGAGAGCCTCTTTAATTAACAGTGCTGGGAAAACTGGCTATCCTCATGCAGAAATTGAATCTAGACCCACATCCCTCATCATGTACTAAAGTCAAAAGGGATCGAAGGGCCAAATGTGGTGACACACACCTGTAATCCCAGCACTCGCTGCTGAGAGAGGAGGATTGTAAGTTCAAGACCAGCCTGGGCTACGTAGTAAGCTCAAGGCCAGCCTGAACTGCACAGCAAGACCCTGTCTCAAAAAGACAAAACAAAAACAAAATGGAGGGAAGATCTAAATGTTACAGCAGAAACACTTTATCAGCTGGAAGATAAAATAGGTAAAAAACCTTGAAGTCACTGGGATAAGCAAGGACCCTTCTGAACAGGGCCCCAGATACACAGGAAGCAGTGCCAGGAACCAACAAGTGAGACAGCATCAAATTAGAAGGCCTCTGCACAGCAAAGGGGACAATCAACACAGTGAAGAGAGAAACCTACAGAATGGGAAAAAATTTTGCCAGCTACTCTTCAGACAGAAGACTAATATCTAGACTATACAAAGTACTCAAAAATGTTAGCTCTTCCAAAATAAAAATCCCAATAAAAAATGTGGAAAAGTGAAACGAACAGACACATCTCAGAAGAAATTCCAACTGGCAACTAAATACATGAAAAAGTGTTCAATATCTCTGGTCAGTAGAGAAATACAAATTTAAAAACACTGAGACCCCATCTTACCCCAGAAAGGATGGCCATCATCAAGAAATCAAACAATAACAAATGCCAGAGAGGCTGTGGGGTGGAAGGAAAGGAACCCCTCCACACTGTCACTGCCTGTGAATTGCTACAACTACTACAGATAGCACAATTTGGGGTGTGGGGTCACCCTCCTATAACCTGAACCTGAGCAATGCCCCAGCGCTAATCCCCCCCAACCCTTACCCTAGGGCTTACTACACAGAGGCAGAGAGAAGACAAGTGAAGCTCCCAAGCCTATCCTGGAAAATTCCAAAATTCCAAACCAGGACCCAGGCACACCAGACCTGCAGGCAAGACCTACAGTAACTTTTCTTTACCTCGACCTCACTGCAGGTTCACGCATATGGACTGCACCTCATAGATCCGATCATAATGGGTGAATGATGGGAGAGGACATGCGCAAAGATGCGGCTGACACGACTCGGCACCTTGTCAATCATGCTGTCACTCACGCTCGGGAGGACCCCAGTGAGAGGTGCCCCGGGGCTGGCCTGACACCCGGTGCCATTTTCCTTTCGCAGGTGTGAGTGTGCTCACTGAGTGTGTGATCACCTCGATAAACTTTGCTGCTTCCTCCTTACTGTCCTGGGCCACATACAGATCTTCGCCGTCACACACACGAGAACCTGTCCCAGACCCCAGCATGCACAGGAACACAACCACTACTAGACGCAGCCTGGAGAGTCCTCAGGAAACTACAAATAGAAATTTCATTCAACCCAGCTATTCCCTTTCTGGGTATTTTCCCAAAAGAGGTAAAAGCATCATATCACAGTGATCCATGCATGTTGATGCAGAATAACTCGTAACAGCCAAATCTTGGAGCCAGCCTGCACGCCCATCAGCAGAAGAACGGATACAGAGCATGTGGTGCTTACACACAATGCAGTACTGCTCCGCAATAAGGACAAATGAGGCATCTGTAGGAAAATGGATGCCCTTGAGACCACGAGGTTAAGTAGACTAAATCAGACACACAAGCTTAGTATTGCATGGTTTCTCTTATAAACCCAAAATATAAATAAAGAGCAAAATAAAAGACAGGTAATAGGAAGGATGTTTCTCCAGTGGAGACGGGCGGAGGGGGTGGAAGGGACTAGGGCGCGTTCTGTACCTGCACCACCTCTGCACGATGCGTGCCATCATTAAGTACTGCAAACACGTGCTAATGAAAACATTTTAACACATTACAGTTGCTTGGTGAGGAAGGAAAAGCATCCAACGGCACGCTGCTCCACTGCCTTTGCGGGCAGAGTGACCTGGCTTTCGGGCGCCCTCTTAGAATGTCTATCCTCCCGCCTCCCCACGCCCTCTGTCCAAAAGCCCAAGTGAAGGAAGTGAGAAGCCACCCCCACACAGCAGCCAGCATGGCACTGACTAAAATCCAGGGTGACATCTGAGTCACAGGACACCACCACCGACTCATCCTTCCTCTTCCATTCCGTCGGCCACGGCGCCAACAGCAGCGGGTTCCTGCAGTGGACGTGAAGAGTATTTCACCGTGTCGGCAGTTCTGTACTCGCTTTGTCCTTCGGCATAAAAGCACAGGGTGGTTTTAAAGAATGCCTACTCAGACACGGCCGAAGGAAACACAAGCACTCTTCCATTAGGTTTTCAACACTATCGTATGCCTCACACGGAAAGTCACAAAGCAACACAGCAAGGTCACCGGGCAAAGGATGCCACATCGGATAAGAAGGTAAAATGTGTGCCAACAACTGAGGTCTCTGTAGATACGGCATGATGGGACTTTGAATAACCTCTGCTACGAGACACTAGAAAGCAGAACTGAGGCCGGCCTGAAAGGAAAACTACGCTGTCGGGTGGGGGAGCGGAGGGGATGGTGTGAGCCAGGCTTCAGGGGAAGGTGGGGAACATCCAAGCCCACTAGGGAAGCTGCGGGCAAACAGCTCATTTGGCCAAGCGATCTACATAGACACCCACCACAGGTAGATGGGAGCCACATGGTACAGGCGGAAGCCACAGAACTTTGCAGGCGGCGGAATCCTGCAATTCCCGACATCTCCGATTTGGAGTCTATAAACTACACCTCTGACAACTGACACTCGCATACACCGGCTGCAGGGCACTGGAGACTCTGAATCATAGCCCCAAACAAAGGCGACAGTGGCCCTTTGTCTCTGTGGAACAGACAATGCCTGCCACATAGGCGCCCCCGCTCCCGCTCCCGCTCCCTGGGGCCGGGCTGGTCAGGGCTGACAGCGGAGAGGAGAGCTCCTTCTCTGCCCCGGCCTTCTCTTTGTTTCCTTGCTTCCGAGCAGGTGGAGACTATTTTCCTCCTTTCCAGCCTTCCTCCTCGGTCCTCCAAGGTCCGCAGCGAGGCTTCAAGCAAGACAGGCAAGAGGCCTTGCAGGGAAGCAAGGAGCCCAGCGGGAGCTGAGGCTGGAGGAAGAGGCCACCCAAGCATTTCTGCACCTGCAGCTCGAGCCACAAGCAAGAGAAGCAGAACAAGAACCCACCCTAGACTCCACCACTGGAGCCTAGCAACTTCTTTCTTCCGTGCCATCAATTAGTAAATATTAATTTCATAACATTAGTGGATCCTTACCAGGGAAATAACGAGCTTTCAATTTGGCTTTTGCAGAAAGCCAAAGCTTTATTTATGTATCTCTCTGTGATCGCAAAGGAATACAGAAACCTCTATATAGGGGCTGAGGATGTAGTTAGTTGGCAGAGGACTTGCTTAGTAAATGTAAGGCCCCTGAGCTCAATCCCCAGTACTGCAAATAAGAATTAAATTAAATTAAATTTAAAAATACAGGATCAATGTTGTCATATTATTACGCTTCGCTTACTATTCTGAAAAATGAACTGTCTGTCAGTAATACCTACCTTTGCTTCTGTTACCTGTGTGCTGGGGTGGGTGGCACCCAGGGCTAAGCACCAAACTGTGTCCCCACTCCTTTATAAAATTTCTTCTTTTGAAACAAGATCTCGCTTAGTTTCCCCAGGCTGACCCTGAACTTGTGGATTTCCTGCCTCAGCCTCCCAAATGGCTGGGATTACAGATGTGTGCTGCTGCATCCGGTTTAATTTATCCTGTTAGTTTAGTGTCTCCAAGAATTATTTCATCATACACTTTAAACCTCTCTTCTATCTAATAAGGCTTCAATGTGTTTTGTTGTCAACCATGTCCAGTGAAAGCCAGGTTAGAGCCAGGCGTGGTGGCGCATGCCTGTAATCCCAGCACTCAGGAGGCTGAGGCAGGAGGATCGTTGAGAGTTTGAGACCAGCCTGGGCTACAAAGTGAGCTCAAGGCCAGCCTGAACTGCATAGTGAGACCCTGTCTCAAAAAGGCCAAAAAAAAAAAAAAAAAAAGAAAAAAAGCCAGTTTAGCACCAGGACTCCCGGACTGTGGATCGAGAGACTTGTGTTCTAGGACCATGACTTAGGGACTAAAGGCGGGCTACCTGAATTCTCCAGACCTTACAAGATTATTTGGGGAGG